AATCTCGCTGTAAAAAAGACCTAAACCAAAAAAAAAAAAAAATAAAAAAAAATAAAAAAAAATCCACACCACAAGAAAACAAAACAAAAACAGTTGAAGGGTTTTTTAATTGTTTAAGCATAAATAAATCCAGTTCAACCATCCCTTTCCTCGGGGCTGTGGTTCCTGCCTTTTCTCTCACTGGCCAGGCTGGGGGGTTTGGCCGGGCCCCCCTGCCCTGCCTGGCTGCCGAGATGGTGGATCTGCTGGTCCTTGGGGTCAAGATCCTTGGCAGGATCCTCAGTGGCTGAGAGCGATCTGTGGGAGCTGACTCTGCTGGCCTAAAGCCCAGTACTAGTCCAACCTGGCACGTGAGCTCGATTAATGCTTCTGCCTGGTTCCACTAGGGGGAAGGCACGACCACTTTTTTCCCTCCCAGCCTCAGCAATTCTGCAGCCAGCTTCAAGTCTCAGCCCTCATTCTGCTCATCCACAGAGTTTCTAATTCATGAAGAGCCCCCGCTGAGCTCCAAGAGGAAGAGCAGAAATCCCATTGTCTTTGGAGATGGAAAGTGTGCAAACACAACCTTTGGCATCCCAGTTTCAGGGATAGCTTCAATCTGTGTTGAGAGGAGCAAAAGAAAGCAATAACTTTGCCTTCAAGGACAGTGCCTGGAGATCAGGAAGGATGTGAGAGGTCAGACTGGCAAAGAAACATACTTGGGAAGCAACTGGCTGTAAGAGTTGTTTGTAATGACTGCAGACTTTGCTGAACTGTGTCGAGGACCAGCTTTTCTTAAAAATACAGAAAGAGGTAAGGCCCACCTGACTCTTGCATCTTCTAGGCCTTTCAGAGAGGAGAAGCCAAAGACAGCAAGACAATATAAACAAGAAGATAAGTTTTGTTTGGCTCTATTTCCCAATGACAGTTTGCCAAAAAGAAAGAAATAAAAAACCCCTTATATAGAGTAATAGAATGGTTGAGGTTTGAAGGGACCTATAAAGGTCATCTAGTCCAACCCCCCTATATTAAGCAGGGACACCTCCCACTAGACCAGGTTGCTCAGAGCCCCATCAAGCCTGACTTGCAATATCTCCACAGATGGGGCCTCCACCACCTCTCTAGGCAACTTGTCCCTGTTTTCTATCTGGACACCAAACCATTGACCACTACCCTCTGGATGCAACCAGAGGGTACTTTATTGTACTCGTTTACCTGCTGGACCCTGTCCAGCTTTTCTTCTGCTAAGGATCAGGATTGGGGATGGCTGGAAGGGTTTGGCATTAGATCAGGACTACTGGAAAGCTCCTCTGCTGCTCCACACTTAGGTGGAGAGCACGGGTGGGAGGTGGCCCAGCCCATGGTGGGGGTGCTGGAACAAGGTGATCTCTCCCAAATGCAGTCCTCCCACCCCCCCTGCCATCCCCAGCCCCTCTCCTGACCCCCTTCCCAGCTGGTCTCCTGCTTCTGCATCCCCCAGCCCCCCATGGCAGGCCTCTACCTCACCCAGAACCAGCTGGCCTGCTTCCCCCATGGGGGCTCACTGGAAATTCTTGCTATTTTGAGAGACGATCACTATGATTACATGACAATCAGTCCTTCAAAACTTACTTCTCTATTGACCCACATACTAAAATGTCCTGAAAAATCTGCTCCACATTCTGTTGTAAAAGAAAGGCTAGTGAAATATATTTCAGGACATAATGGCTTTTGTTTTCCTTCAGTTCTTTCAAGTTATGGAAATGTTGGACAAAACCAAACTAAAGGTTTTGCTTCAGTCATTTCAGCTGATTCAGCAGATGAAAACAAATGTTTCTTTGTGCTTCCAGTCACCTACTTCAGCAAACTTGTTTGACCAGCTACTGTGAGAATCTTCCAAAACTGGCAGTAGAAATAATAAAAATAAATTGGCAGGGATTATTGTCTCTTTCATTGTTTAAAGAGATCCATAAATGTTGGCAGTTCCCGTGGTCTTTTTAGCTATTTATTTTAAAAAACATGGCATTTGTAAGCAGAGTGCAGAGATGCCAAGAAGCTGCTGAAATGCACCTCGTGCCTTGTGATAACACGGATTCTAAACTTAACTTCGATTTTATTTTTTTTCCTTGTGTCCTTAATATTTTGCTTTCAACAAGCAGCTCAAATTTCAAACACTTTCTGCCCTTAACAGGAAGATTTTAGTTTTGCCTCTGAATCTGGCTTTTCAGAAGGTAAAATCGAGGAGAATTTTTGCAACTCACACTGGGACGCGTCGCTTGGCAAAAACAGCGTCCTTTTTTTAAAAAAAACCCCACATTTTTTTAAAACACATCATGACGAGATGATCCTTCGAGGTCTCTTCCAACCCCTAGGATTCTGTGAGTCTGTGATTCACTCGAGTTTCTAATTAGATACCAGAAATATCTGGGTTTACCTGCTTCAGGACCTCGGGGACGCCCGGTTTTACCTCAGCACCTCAGAGGTTCAGCTCAGTGACCTCAGCTCTCTCAGCCGACGCGACTGCGGTAACTGCACATTTTAACATTTAAAAAAAAGGGGGAAAAGGGTTTTTTTACCAGTCTCCTTAAGACTGCGGCTTGACCTGACCCCCTCACGCCTTGTGACGCCTCGTGAAGCCCCTCGGGACGTGCCCGGACCCCTCCCGACCCGGGGCAGCTCCCGGGGTCCCCGCCCCGCCCGGCCCGGGCT